AAGGCACATCCAGCCCCAGGACAAAAACATGAAGAATACGTGCCCCACATATTCCCCAAGTAAAGCTGCTACTGTGAAAACAAAGTCCATGTTACCTGCGAAAGATGACCTGGAGCCTGAACTGGCACCAGCAGCCTACAACAGACCTCTTGTCTGCCAGGAAGAGGAGTGCTTAAATATTGATGCTCAAGAGGATGAACAGACAACAAAGGAGCCTGAACCTGCAAGCAAAAAGGAGCAGCTGTCAGTGAAAAAGCTCAGAGTTGTACTGTTTGCTTTGTGCTGCAACACTGAACAGGCAGCAGAGCACTTCCGAAATCCCCAGAGGCGGATCAAGCGTTGGCTACGAAGGTTTCAAGCTTTCCAGGAAGAGAATTTAGCATCCCTGTCAGAGGGCAAGTACCTCAGTTTAGAGGCTGAAGAGAAACTAGCAGAGTGGGTCCTAACACAGAGGGAGCAGCAGCTGCCTGTAAATGAGGAGACTCTCTTCCAGAAAGCGACCAAGATTGGCCGATCCCTTGAAGGTGGCTTCAAGATCTCTTATGAGTGGGCAGTGAGGTTCATGTTACGGCATAACCTCAGCACACATACCCGAAGGGCAGTAGCTCACCCTCTCCCCAAAGATGTAGAGGAAAACGCCAGTTGCTTCATTGAGTTTGTGCAGCGGCAAATCCACACTCAAGACCTTCCTCTCTCCATGATTGCAGCCATTGATGAAATCTCTCTCTTCCTTGATGTGGAGGTGCTGAGCAGTGATGACAGAAAGGAGAATGCTTTGCAGACAGTGGGAACTGGGGAACCCTGGTGTGATGTTGTTCTCACAATCCTTGCTGATGGTAGTGTTCTCCCAACACTAGTCTTTTACAGGGGTCATGTACAGCAGCCTGCCAATGTGCCAGAATCTATCATGTTGGAAGCAAAGGAAAACGGATACAGCGATGATGAAATCATGGAGTTGTGGTCGTCCAGAGTGTGGCAGAAGCACACAGAGTGTCAGAACAGCAAGGGCATGCTAGTGCTGGATTGTCACCGAACCCACCTATCAGAAGAAGTACTTTCTTTGCTGAGTGCATCCAGCACTCTGCCGGCTGTTGTCCCTGCTGGCTGCAGCTCCAAAATTCAACCTCTAGATGTTTGTATAAAAAGGACTGTGAAAAATTTCTTGCATAAAAAGTGGAAAGAGCAAGCCAAGGAAATGGCGGACTCTACGTGTGATTCGGACATACTTCTCCAGCTGGTTTTATGCTGGCTGGCAGAGGTCCTAGAAGTCATTAGTGATTCCCCTGAACTTGTGCAGCAATCCTTCCTCGTGGCCAGTGTGCTGCCTGGTCCAGATGGCACAGCCAACTCGCCCACACGCAACGCTGACATGCAGGAGGAGCTGATTGCCTCTCTGGAGGAGCAGCTGAAGCTGAGTGACGAGCAGCAGGATGAGGAGGCTGAGGTCCAGGACAGGACCCAGGCCGAGGAATCAGCAGACCCAGAAATCCTCCATCAGCTCTTTGAAGGGGAAAGTGAGACTGAATCCTTTTATGGCTTTGAAGATGCTGATTTGGATCTGATGGAAATCTGAGCACTGATCTGCAAATCATGATCCAGAAAGGGTTATTTTTTAAATAAATGTTGGATGAGACCATTACACTTCCCTGTGGATTTGTGGGTTTAGGAAATTTGTAGGCGATCACTCAGATAAATAGCCATTTATGCTGTTCCATTTATAAGTTTTGTGCTTTTTTAAAAGAAAAATCACTGTGTTGGTATTTTCTGAAAATATATTGTGGGTGAATATTTTTGCGTTTTCTTTACCTCACTGTATCATAGTTTTCTGTTTTTATTGTGCAGAAATGTTTTGAATTATACATTGTCAATGTGACCATTTCTAAAGAAAGGAAAAAAAATATGTAGCTAACGAACCAGTATATAAATCTTTTTGGTTGTCTTAACACAGGTAATTAATTTTTTTTTTTTTAAAACACACGACACAGATTTGGTTTCTGTGGTAAATTTAGATACGAATTATTGCTTTAATGTGTGAACCTTCTATAATTGGCCATTAAGTCTTGGGGGTTTTTTGTTTGTTTGTTTGTTTTTAAACAAGTAATTATTTTGCTTGTGAATTTTGACACGGGATAGAAACACAAGTGAAAGAATTTTGCCTGTTCAATGCCAGCAGCGGTTCTTGGGAGCCATTAGAATTTGAACTGGGGTTGAACTGAGATCCACAGTTAGGGAGTGAGGTGCAGTGCTAGAGCAAACCTCTTGAGTTGACCTTCTTGACAGTGTGTGATGGTTCTGTTCCTCCAACCAGGAAACCATCTGACACCCACCTTGCTCCAAAGAATTACTGACAGAGGGTACATGATGGAAGAGGAAAGTCAAGTCTGTCTTGATCTTCCTGTACAGTAGATGGCAGTTAAAACTGTATGGACCATTAAACGTTGACCTTTTTAACTACTAGTAGTTGATAAACATGCTTTAACCAGTGGCATCAGACACTACGTTCCTTAGAATTAGAAATCTGATTTAATGAAACAAACTGTGACGTGCACAAAAAGAAGACATTTGTTTTTATTTTTCACTGCCAGCTTAAATTTTTCTACAATTTGCATGTTTGAGGGTTTTTTAATTGTATGTATTATGGTATAAACGGAAGCATTTTGACATACAGAAATCAGAAGCACCTGCACCTTTCTGTTTCCATAGAGGTTTTGTGAACCTTCCCTATTACCTAAGGAAAGCAGGAGGCAGCATGTGCAGACCTGTAAATGGTTCATCTTTAAAATGTACATAAGTGGAACATTTAATAAAACCAGGGAAATGGATTTATAAACATGTGTTTTTATTATGAAGAACTATTTAACTCTTGTGATATCTTAATGCTTAATATAAAATGCAGAATGACTTCCTCTGAACCATGCAAGAAACTGAACTGGACACAGGAGCGATATTTTGGAGATGTGGCTAGGTTGCAGACTGGATTATCTGTATCCTGTTTGTGAGGAGACAGAGTTGTTTAGCATGTCCTGAAGAAACCCAGAGATGGGATAGTAATTAAATGTGTTTACATGTCATTAACACTTGAGGTAGAATTCTGCCCAATTTACATTTCTACAACCCTAATTGCCCTTTATTAACTATATAGTGGGTTAAATGGAACAACCTACTCTCCTGATTGAGATTTAAAAAAAAAAAAAAGTCTGAAAAAGTCATTAATAAAATACTCTACTGAATAAATATATTTATTGCATTTTATCTTTATTTGGGATCTTCCCTACTCTTACTTGAGAGCCTAATGGATCAAGTTGTTTATCTCAGGTAGCAGTAAATACTCTTAAATGAAATAATAATCATAAATAATAAGGCTAAGAAATGCCCAGTTCAGCCATCAATCAACATCTGAAGTACATGTAACACCATTTTTTTACTATCCTCTTATAGCACTTGTTGGGCTGGTAGCCAGTGGGGGATTTAAAGGAAGCACAGCATCTCTAACTGCTTGCACGGTGTTGTAGGACGATTGTCTTGTTTTTGAATTTCAGAGTCTTTGTATCCCAGTAAAGCTACCATCAGCAGAGTAGAGCAATAGGGATCTAGATTCAGAGATCTTAATTATCCTAATATGCAGTCACTCCCTCTCCTTCCAGTTTTTGCCTGTGTCCTTTCAAGCAAAACACTTACTATTCAGTGCTTTGACAGTGCCTTTTGAGAGCTGTAGGGTGAGCAAGATGTTCTCAAAAACATCTACATGTTAATAAAATGACCTAGCACATAGCACCTTAGGGGTAATATCTTTTTATATCTTAAAGCTATCCCATCAGCTGAAGACCAACAGGGGATTGGAGGTGTTAATACAGCAGTCAAAGGCGTTTTTGTCATGTGGTGTGAGAGCAGTTTCAGAACCAACAGCTAGACAAGTTTGAAATTTCAGTCTAGAAATGTTATTTACCCTCATGGTGTCGCTTTCTTCTTGTTTGGTCCCTTACAAGGCTACTGAACACTCTGTCTGTGCATCATACAGATTCCAGCCCTTTTCTGCATTCATCAGTGCTTTGGTTGTACAAACCCAGGAAGCACTATAATACACCAATTAAAGATGTCTGAGAGATCCATCAATATCTCAAACTACACTAGGACCCCTTTGAATTCTAAGTCATGAACTGTTAGCAAATACTTCTTACCAAAAGCATCTTTAAAGATGTGCTTTCCTTCTGTCCACAGGTGGTTTTTACAGGTTGCCTAAGTCTTTTCACTTGTCCAGATCAGAATTCATGTTGATTTGGATGACCACAGGCAGAACATGGCACATGCTGCATGTAAGTCTATGTTGCTGAAATACTGTACAGGGTTAAAGTATGTTCCACTTTCCATTAGAGACTTCAAAGCCCAGTAGCCTTCTCTTTAAATAGGCCCAATCTTGAAATGGCTTGCATGTTTAGCTTTAGACTCAGCACATGGGAAGCAAACAGGTACCAACCAATACTGATCCTGCAGTCCCAAGGTAAATAGTTCAACTACTGCTCTTGAGTTGCTTGCTAATCTTTATAGCAACACAAGCTTTCAACTAAGAAACCATTACTAAAATGGAGAAGTAGAAAAAGAGATCATGGGTGCTAATTAGAGGTAGTTATGAAGCACCTTGACCCATGTTCGCGCAGTTCCACTTCAATGCCTGTCTGCTAAAACAACTGCCAACTCAGATATGGAAGGAGGAGGGCAGTGTATTTACATGTTTAATGAAGTATAGTTCCTACCAGAGCCCCAGTCAAAAAAAAACAACAGAAGCAAATGCTTTTGCTGTCTTTCTCCACCAAGAGGGCTTGCAGCTGCTATCAACTTTTTTGAAGTGTGGGTTGTTCTGTAGAAGACAACCTGGCAGCTCAGAGTAATTCCTGAAATGCTCTGGCTTCTCGCTGCTTCAAACTAAGAGACTCTTCCTGAAGTAAATACTTTTGGAGCAACACACCAACTAATTTCCAGCCATCAGCACAAGCACACACACACACTTGTCTTAACAGGTTTATTTAATTCCCATAACAAATCAGCGCTTCAAAAGGAGTAACTGAGTTACAGCATATATAAAGGGTGATAACATGAACACAACAGCCTGGAGCAGCTCTTCGGAGATCATTCAAAGCCACTGCAAGAAGACAGTTTTACACAGTCAGACTATTACACAACATGGATGTGGTCAACATCTGTACTGCTGAAAATCAGAGTAGGGCATGTTAGCTTTTGTCAGGTACTGTGTGTAAGTGACACTTGTTTTGAACAAGCAAAAGGCAGCAAAGAAGGTAGATGAACAAAAAGCGTTCCAGTTCCAGAAGGACCACACACCAAATGCTTTCATACCTTGACTTTAAAGGGCAGAGCAGCCAAGCAGTTCTGAACCAAGCCAAAAGCCACTTCCCTTGGTGCAGGGAACCAGTGCTTTCTCCTGCTGGCCAGAACCACTCCCCAGTCAATAAAATTTGGTTCCAGGAGAGAAGCAAGGTGGCTACTACTGAAGCATGTGGCAGAGATGTAACCTGTAGAGCTGTGTATCATCCAGCCAGATCTACACCTCTGGGTCTCCTCCAACAGTTTATGTTATGCCCTCAGGCTGAACTGCCAACTCACAGATTAAGAGCTCAAAATGAACTTACTCTAACAGGCATTACCTGACAAGGTGTGCTATGTCCCAGTTGGCTTCCAGGGTCAGAGGTCCTTCCACTTCCACTCCTTGTTTCGTGGCAATAGCAACTTCATACTAAGGAGAAGAACCACGTAAAGTTTTTCAGTAAATCCTGACTTCCACACTTGAATTCAAGATGGGCCCTCCCTCCCCTGTGAAAGCTTTAATGAATATAAGTCAATAACAAGTACTGTCCTTCAAACATGTTTGTTTTAACATGGCTTTGCGTTCAGTAGTGCGTTACTTTCTTGGTGAGCGAGTCAAGCTATAATAAACCTTAGTAGTTAATAGAAACACTTTCAAAGCTAGCAGACTGCAGCCTCTGGATACGACTGCTGTGGTGAGGGGAAAAGTAGCATCAGACGAAAGAACAAGTATTAACCAGCCAGCTGAAGACAAACATCATTCAGAATCGCGTTGCTGTTCAGAGGCTGCAGGAGATAAGGAGAGTCTTGCTTTGTCTGACAGCTTTGCTAACACAACCTAATATACCCTGCCTCCACCAACTCAAGAGGTATTATGAGTTTTTTTTCTGAGATCATAAACAGAATGACTAAAAATATTAAGATGACCTGGGGTGAAGACTGGCCTCTGGAACATCTGTCTGAGGGGCACAACAGGTACAGCAGCTCTCCAGTGAAGGCAAGCCAAAGCAGGGCACTTACTCTGTTAAATGAGCGGGCATCTCTGTAATACAAGATTTTCATGCACCGCTCAATCAGGTCACGGGCCTCCTCCTTTGTAAGGCTGGGTTTCTTCTCCAAGACTTCTCTCATCAGTGGCTGCAAAAAACCCCATCAGCTCAGTCACTCAGCACTGAGATCACTTTAGCAGCTAATCAAGTGCATACTCTACACTCCTGCCTGTAAACACTCACCTGAGCTAGGTATGCTCCATAACCTGTAGCAAGCGTAGGGGCTTCATAGGCCACACCAAGCATGTCAACATAACCTAGGAAACTGAAGGGACAGACTTGTTACTGCAGCCACTGCACGAGCAGCAGTGTGTCATATTGTAGCGGGACTCAGCTTCAGAGCAGCTACATCCAGCTTGCAGTTCTGAAAACCCTAGAGAAGTCAGCAGAGCAGACACACTCACGCTGACAAAGTGAGAGTCCAGCTGTCCTGCTGGAAACACAGGCTCATGTGGCCTTCAGGTCATCTGGGACCACAAAGGCCAGATGTATCCTTCTGCCCCTGTGTGAGACTAGGGGCAGGAGAATATGCCTACAAGAATTAAATGAATGATGATTCAATGGCTCGTTATTTTATCATTTTCTTGTGGGCTTTTTTTGTGGGGGAGCCATAAAGGACAGTACCCAAGGGGACTTTTGTCTGTTGCTCAGATGAACCTGAAAGCCCAGAGCGCCCTCTGGCCAGCAGTTCCATCACATATTTCTCCTTTTGGAGAAGACCTAAGATCCAATCTAGGAAGCTGGACCAGAGGGAACTGGACTGGTAGGGTTCCCTTCTTATGGCACAAAATATCTTCAGAAGCAGCTCTAGGGAGGATGTGCAGTAACCATTGCACATTCCACGTAGCTTGTCCTTACCTCTCACCATTGTAATAGCCTCCAATGACAACAGTGTTCCAGAGCGGATTTATCTTGGACCTCCGGTTGTACATGACTCTTGTCAGCCAGGAGTGAATGGCTTTTGGACTGTAACTGTGACCATCTCCCAACAGCTCCTCATCGATTCTAATTTAGAGAGAAGTTTCACTCAACTAAGAATGGCTGGAAATCACCAGGATACAAGAGCAGCAGCCCACTTCCAGCTGGGCCAGGAACAGGACAGGATACACTCATGCAGCTTCCTTGAAGGCTGTTTTGAAACAGAAGAACTGCAAGAACTTGCAAGAGGTGAATCAGCCAAAGGCCTCAGATAAACAACGGATCATTTAAACTGGTTCTTCACCGTGTTCGGCAGAAAATGTGGAAAATACACTTGTACTGAAGGGCCTGAACTCAGTTGGAGGACAAGGAGGATTTCAGCTCAAGAATTGGAAAGACTGTATTTGCCTCAACTGGCTTAATGGCAGGGGATTCACTGGCAGCAATTCACAGCAGCAGTAAAACAAACTCTGAAGGATAGAAGCTCATTCCTTGAACCACACTAACTTATTCTACATTATTTGGTCCGTAAGTGCAACGATCAGTTTGGGCCCATTTTATTCTTGCTCAGTGAATGCATTTTTATTACGTGTTTTAATTGTTTGAGGACTGGGGAGAGTGAGAGGCCTGGCAGGATGGCCTAGCATCAAGCAGGGCACCGTGGAGGTTTGCCCAGCCAGCCTGTGGCCCAACTGCAGCAGCCTGGGGCAGGAGGTACTTACACCATCTGGTCAATGATCTGCTTGAGGTATTGGAAGTCAGCATAGTCCCCAGATGCCCCCAGCATGGTGTTGTCATTCACCTTCAGGAGCCTGGAAATGTTGCGGAAGCGGGCGAGGGAGCCATAGGAGCCCAGCATGTCTGCAGCAATGATCACTCCCCCGTCAAACTTCACTCCCAGCACAGAGGTGCCCGTCACCATGGGGGTCCTGCAGACCAATAAAATGTCAGTGCTGCTCTGGCACCCAGTGAGGCCTGAAACTCCCTCGGCCCAGACCTATCCCCTCTCCCCCGCATCCTCAGCCCCTTTGCCCGTTCCAGCCCCCCCACTCCCAGTCCCTCCAGTACCTCACAATCCAGTGTCCCCCAGTTCCTCCAAACCCCGTGGCCCCATTCCCGGTGTCTCTCAAGTCGGTCCTCCATCCCCAGCGTTCCTACACCCACTCCCCCATGCCCTCACCTCCCATCCCCGCTCTCTTAGTGCTCCCCACCCCAAGCCTTCAGCCCCCATCCCCGCTGTACCCCATCCCTAGTGCCC